ACATCCTTTAATCATCCCCCCTTTAAGTTATGATTTTATTTCCTAACCCTACATGCATTATTTATTAACTTTTCATCATGCATCCACATTCATTCCAACACAAAACACACACACATGCACTTATTCTTTCATCATTGCACCACCAATTCACCCACATGCATTTCCAACCATTCACACCCCTTTAATCATTCTCCTAGCTATCATTCACATGCTCTCCCATCCATTCTCTCCCTATATGTTCCCTCCACTACTCCTATAAATACCCTTGCATTCATTCATTCATTCATCATCTCATTTCATACACAACACACCACAAACACTTCCATCTTCTCCCTAGCCGTGAGTTTTTCTTCCATTTTTCCTCCATTTCTTCCATTTCCATAATCCCCCAATCCATTCAACACACCTACAACATCCCTTAGTTCTTGTGCCACAATAAAGAGGAAGATAAGAGGGCCTAAACGTTCATACAATTCACGTTTGAGTTGTTGGAATGTTTACGCGTTTCTTTGATTTCAAAGTTTAAATTCAATTCTCTTTGTTTTGTAATATGAGGAATGAAGATAAGAGGGCCTAAACGTTCATACAATTCACGTTTGAGTTGTTGGAATGTTTAGGTGTTTCTTTGATTTCAAAGTTATGAGGAACTAAACCCTTTTTAGCTAGGGGTGATTTCAATACCATGATTATTTATGTAATATGAATTGATGAATTCCGGTTATGAACTCTTGATTCGTGAATGCAATTGGCTTAACTATTTGATGATTAACTTATTTGTGTTTGTTGATTGAGGGTCGACACTTAATTAGCATGCATGAATATGTGGCTAAAGTTTAAGAAGGTTTCACATAATCGTTACTAACTTATACTTGAAAGTAGTGAAGGTCGCTTGTCACGATCGCGTTAAGTTTAATTCTTAGCATGAGTAACATGATGTCATAGTTGCAAGTGCTTTGTCAATGCTTATGGTTTTCATTATTCTTAATGATCTTCGATTGTATCTCTATTATGATGACATGTAGGGAACTTTTGAGAATGTTTTGGGTTGTCGAATGATGCCATCCAATCCAATAATATAAGGAAAATCTGAGGGTTAACTAGTGATGTCACGGTTAATTTGGGGCATTGTCGTTCATAATTCAATGAAGGAATAACTGGAAATTGATTCATATGCATAAATATCATGTGTGGAGAAAGAACCTCTAGCTAATTCACCAACCATCTTATTTCATCAATTACATTCTTGTTTCGTTATTTCAATTTTCATCAAATCTCAATCCCTCTTTTGCTTTAATGTGCAATATAGTTAGAAATCAATTTAGTTTGTGTTTTTAAAGCATTTTGATTCTTTTGGTTTGTCTTAGTGTTTTAACGTTTAATTTCACATTCTTTGAGTCTAGTTTAACATTTTATATTGTTTTTACGTTTTAGTTTAAATTCGTCCAAATCCAATTCCCCCCTATTTCGTTGAAGTCTTAGTCTTAATCTTTCTTATTTTTAGTTTTGCTTTCTTCGAGCATTAAATAGTGTTTTATATTGTGTTTTTATGTTTTTAAGTCAATTTAGAAGGTTTTAGCAAGCCCTCCTAATCCCCGGTCTAGAACGATCCCTCACTTATCCATTCTACTACAATTGTCAAACGAGGGTTTAATTTGAGTGTCAAGTAATTCTCGCATCACTCACCTATATGCAAAATAACTAATTTAACATTAATTTTAAAGCACATACAAAATCCCTAGGAATAACTTCTCATACGTTGCTCAAATGGGGTGTTTGAATATATCAATGTGACCTCCTCAACACCATGAACACCCCTATATTTTTAGAAAAATTTTCCAACGTTCCACGAGCTCTCACGCGTAGGCCAAGGCACGGGCACATGCGCTGACCACGAGCAGGCACGTGCCTAGCACGTTGACGGAATCCCTAACCGCATTAGGGAATATGCCATTAAATAATAGAATATTCCGTTAAAGTTACCTTATGCCATTAGTATATTCTGTTAAGGTTGACGGAATATTCTCTTCCTTCCTCTGTGGGCTTCACTAGAGCCGCTGTTTGTTTCGCTGGTTTTTGGGAAATCTTAAAACTTTAATATCTTCATCATTTTTCAACCAAATTCCAGGAATTTTATATGGATTTGAAGCTCTTAACTAGAAGAACACAATCTTACCTATTTAAGGTCTTAAAACCGACGGAAAATGGTCGGAATAAGGCTTTGAACAACCGGCCAAACCTGCAACTCCGTGTTCTCGTCTATTCCAATGTTCAAACTGCTCCAAAACTAATCTAGGGTACCGATTAAGTTGATTATGACCCGCCTCGAGCCTTTATACCTTAGAAAAAGACCAAGATCATGACGGAGCATGATACACCTCGCAGGAGCTCGCGAGTTCACGACTTCCCGACATCTATTTCTCGACCTAAGGGCATGGATGAACTCATGGAGTCACGAGAAAAGTGATGGTGGTGTCTAGATACTTGATCCGTGAAGTTTGATGGTGTTTGTGAGCTAGAAGTCTATGTTCGTACAGACGGGGAGAAGGGTTGAGAAGATGAGGGAGAGAAGGTATATATGTATGTGTGTGGGCTACGGGATTGGGTAGAATCAAAAGGTCACAAGCCCTAATTGGGCTATAGAATTTAGGGCATAAACAAATGAGTCCAAATAGAAATAAAACCAACCCAATTTTATATTTTTACCCAATTTCACTTATTCGTTCGCAACATGTTTGTTACGAACCCAATTCGACCCTAATTTGGGTCGACGAGCTCGTGACATCAAATACAATTTAATGTCAGGGAGAAAATTAATTTAAAACTGCATATGTACATCCATGTCACTAAAACCACAAGGGCATTATCGTCACTTTATACACTCGGGGAGAAAATATGTATAATAATTCAGGACGGGTCGTCACATCATGTGATGTCAAAAACATTTGAACAACAAATAAAAAAAAAGGAAAACTAACGAAAAGAGCTTGAAAAGTTTGAGTTTTAACCATAAGGACAAAATAAGGGGTAAAGTGAATAGTACCATGATTGATTTTTTAGTGTAAAAATGTGATTTTTCGTTAAATTGAACAGTACCATGAGCTTTTCGTTGAAGTTCCCTTAAAAAAATTAAATAAAAGAGAAAAAAAAAAAGCACTAGGATGTGACACATAAAAGAAGGGAGGTGGGGCACCACACCATTTTTTTAGAAGGCTTTTTAGCCAAAATGGTCTCTAAGATTTGTATAACACATCACTTTGGTTCCAAAGATTGGAAATCAATAGAAATGGTCCCTGAGATTGTCCATGATCCATTATTTTGGTCCTTCCGTTAAAAACTTCATTAAGTGTTCTGGAGTTCTTGGCCGGAAGTTTGGGCAATTTTCAAAACTTCGTAACTCAATCATTTCTTAACCAAATTCGACTCATAATATATCAAAATGAAGATAGGAAAGTGTAGAACAAAATTATACCTATTTGGAAGCCCAATGGTTGCCGAAGATGGCCGAAAAATAGCCTGAAAGGTGACTGGTCTGCAGGAAAACTGGAAAACTCGTCGGAAATTGGGTAAACTTTAAACGTTCATAACTTCTTCAATACTTAACGAAATCAAGTGATTCAAAAACAAAAATTATACTTCTTGACGAGGCAAAAAGAGTGGAACCTTTCTCGATGGCTAACTCGCCGTGGTTTGGCTGGAAAAAGGCTCGAAATTGGCTGTCTTGGTCTCAAGTTAGCCACTTTCGAGCCTTTTTTTGGCCAAACCACGACGAGTTAGCCATAAAAAAATGTATCATTCTCTTCGTCGCATTGAGAATTATAATTTTTGTTTTTGAATCACTTGATTTCTTTGAGTATTGAAGAAGTTATGAACATTTAAAGTTTACCCAGTTTCCCGCGAGTTTTCCAGTTTTCCCGCGGACCAGTCACCTTTTAGGCTATTTTTCGGTCATCTTCGTCGACCATTGGGCTTTGAAATAGGTATAATCTTATTCTACATTCTCCTATCTTCATTTTGATAAATTATAGGTCGAATTTGGCTAAGAAACGATTAAGTTACGAAGTTTTGAAAATTGTCCAAACTTCCTACCAAGAGCTTCGGAATACTTAATGGAGTTTTTAACGGAATAACCAAAATAATGGATGATAGACAATCTCAGGGACCATTTCTATTGATTTTCAATCTCAGGAACCAAAGTGATGTGTTATGCAAATCTTAAGTTGGGATTAGGTGTCCCAATTTCATTGGGAAACAATTTAATATGAAAGGGTGAGATCACGTGGGGTGAGAATCAAGAAACTTTTATTCTTTCTTTCTTTTTGTTAGGGGTAATTATGAAAAAGTATATTTGAGCATGTTGGGCCTTGTAATCATAATTTAGGGCATTCGTTCTTATGGTTAAATTTGAAGAGATTTTGGTTAAACAATATTTTAAGCTAGTTTTTTTTTTATTAAAATAGTCTTAGTTCAAATCATTTTCATTAAAACTCCATTATATATCTCTATTAATTAATAAAACACTCATTGTCAACCAAAATTTTAAGAAATTATCGGTTTAACACAACCAAATTTTGTTTTTTTTTTTTTCAAAGCCTCACTTACATGTAATCTTAACATATCTCTAATTAAAAAAAAAAAAAAAATTCCACTCCCACATTCTCTATATATCTCTTCTTCTCTCCTTTTATTTCAAAAACAAAAATAAAAAATTTTCTCACACACTTTGTGTGTGTCTGTATCCTAGTATAAATTAAAATAAATAAATAAAGGTTTTGCCAAATTGATGACGTGGAGGGTTGACTCCAGTTAGCTTCCAATGGAAGAGTGGGGGTACCGCGAGTGGGATCTCGCCTTGCAAAGTCACATCCCCACAATTAAATTAAATTTTAAATTAAAATATGTGCCGGTAAACAAGAATTAGAAGACGGCTTAATTACCAAAAACCCCCTTAAACGACGTCGCCTCCCCCCCAGCGTATAAAACAAAAGCTTCAGCCACTCAGTCCAACGAGTAGAGAGCATTCAACGCACAGGACAAAGACATCCAAAAAGCACAGAGAGGAGAGAGAAAGAGAGGAAGAAGAGGTTCGGAAAAGCAAGAGAGATTGAGGTGAGAAGAAAAAGCAAGGAGAGCGAGATCAAAAATTGGTAAAGTATCTAGGTTTTAGCTTTGTGTTACTGAACTGGTGATCCGACGACGTAATGGCGTCTCCACAGTCGGAGCTGTTTGCGAGGACGCCGAGTTCCGGTAGGGCTCTGTCCATAACGCCGGGGTCTAGGATTTTGCAGAGCCCTGGCGCCGTCAGTGATGAGGCGATCTGGAAGAGGTTTAAAGAAGCTGGATTTGACGAGGAATCGATTAAACGGAGGGACAAGGCGGCTCTCATTACATATATTGCGAAGCTTGAAGCAGAGGTTGTTCCCTTTCTCACTCTGCAATTTTGAATTTTGCGTTTCGAAATTTGAATTTCTGAATTTTACTTTATTTGTTTCAGCAGTGGGTATTTTGTATAGGGAATTTTATATAATTTGTTGGCTGAATGTAGCATTCAGAAAGTAGTGGAATTCAATTATTATTTTTTATTTTCGAAGGCAATCGAATATGCCCAAGCAGGATCAGAAGAATTGTATACAATTTTGTTGGTTGAGTTTTATTTTTATATAGATTAAGTTCTTGATAGTTTTGTTGTTCGATTCAATATTCTGGCAAGCAGAGGTTTTTTAGTCGCCGTGTTGTGAAATAGTGAAACTTGATTTCTTTCTATTGAGTTTTGGCATTAGGGAATGTGGTTGGACGGGTCGTTATGTGTACAATGTGTTTTGATTGGTCCTGAATAAGAAATATGCTCGGTTTGATCCTGAATAAGAAATGACATAGGTCCGTGGCTTCCATCGTTATTAAGTTCTATCCTTTTCTTCTTGGGTTACAAAATACCATTATAATGAATGAATTTTTTTAATTTATTTTTTATTCTAGGAATGTATGTATTCAACATTGTTTCTCCTGAACAATGTCAATCAATATAACTACGACCATTTGTCTACCATTTTCTATCTTCTATTCTTTTGCCTTTTTGTCGACTCCCCATTGCCTGTTGGTCTCATGCTGCTTACTGATTTGGTTGGGGTACCTTAAGAACCGTGATGTCTATTGAGTCTTTTTTGTGGTGTTACTTTTGGTGGTGGTGATATTCCTTGATTTTGTTTTAAGGTGAGAAACATGGATATGTTGTTCGTATATTTTCGATGAAGTGTGGTAGAAAATTTTTCCTTTTGTTATTTTGCTAACCAGTTTAGTTTAATTTAGATTTTCAACCACCAACACCACATGGGCCTTCTCATATTGGAAAGAAAGGAGTTGGCATCCAATTATGAGCAAATTAAAGCCTCTGCCAAGACCGCTGAACTTTTGCATAAGCGTGATAAAGCTGCAGATTTATCTGCTTTGGCTGATGCAAGGAAACGGGAGGAGTGCCTAAAAAAGACAGTAGGAGTCAAGGAAGAGTGTATAGCTAGTGTAAGCTTTCGACTGAGAATCTTTGTAGTAACCATCTCCTTTCTTTGCATGTGATGATAACATGTTTTTGCATGGATATGTAGATTGAGAAGGCGATGCATGAGCTGCGTGCAGAATCTGCTGAAACGAAGGTTGCAGCTGACAGTAAATTGTCTGAAGCACGGAAAATGGTGGAGGATGCTCAGAAGAAATTCACAGATGCTGAGGGAAAACTGCATGCAGCAGAATCTTTGCAAGCGGAAGCTTGTCGCTTTCACCGTATTGCTGAAAGAAAGATGCGAGAAGTTGAAGCTCGTGAAGATGATCTTAGGAGGAACATTCTGTCATTCAAGATGGAGTATGTGTTTCAGTTATTGTTTAAATAGTGATTACCCTGTTCTCAGTTTTAGGATCTGTCAGCTTTATCATCACCTGTCAGATATATAAATGTAAGTCAAATTCTCATTTGCGGTGCTTAAATGAGGGACAAGTGAGGAACAATGCATCAAGGGATGGATTCACTTCAATGAATTATTTATTTCAATAGTTGTGTTAAATCTGGCCATGAAATGCATTGTCCCCCTCCTATCCCTCAATGTTGTAGGTCCCTTAGGTGAGCGCTGTTCAAGGCTGGCTAGCTCAGTAAACGACTTCTAAGTATTTCTATGCATAAAATCAGTAGAAAGTTTTTTTTTTTTTTTTTTTTTTTAATTTTGTTGATTTTCTTTTTAACTTTATTTTGTAGCTGTGAAACAAAAGAGAAAGAGATAAGCCTTGATAGACAATCTTTAAATGAAAGGCAGAAATCCTTGCAGCAAGAACAAGATAGGTTACTTGATGCACAAGCTCTGCTAAACCAAAGGGAGGATTTCATATTTGGTCAATCTCAGGAACTGAATCGACTTGAAAAAGAGTTAGAAGACGTAAAAGCAAATATTGAGAAGGAGCGTAGAGCCCTAGATGAAGAAAAATTGAATCTGGAGCTGACTGGGGCTTCCCTTATTAACAGAGAGGAGGTTCCTATTGTTAAATTCTTTTCCCTATCTGAATGTTATTTGTTTATTGAAATATTCACTAGTGTGGTTCTGTTTCAAGTGTTTGCAGGCTTTAACTAGAAGAGAAGTTCTATTGAACAAAAAAGAGCAAGAGATACTTTCTTTGCAGGAAAAACTTATGAGCAAGGAATCTGTGAGTGATTCAATGGTCTATTTCCTGTTAAATTTGTTCTGATGTTGACTTACCATTCGTTAATTCTTTCTTATCCTCAATCTTTATATGGATGGTCCAGGATGTGATTAAGAAAGCTATAGCAAGTCACGAAGCTGATTTGAGGAAAAAGAAGTCTGAATTTGAAACGGAGTTGGATGTGAAGCGGAAATCGTTTGAAGATAAACTTGAGGCCAAGAGACGGGCTTGGGAGTTGAGGGAGGTTGATCTCAATCAACGCGAAGATCTACTGTGTGAAAGGGAGCATGACTTGGAAGTTCAGTTAAGGGCATTGATGGATAGGGAGAAAGAAGTGGCAGAGATGTCAAATCTTGTTGGCGAGAAAGAAAAAAATTTGAGAGAGGCTGAGAAGGAGTTTGAGCAGAATAGTGGTATGTTGCAAATAGAAAGGGAAGAAATTATCAAAATGAAGCTAGAACTTCAAAGGTCCTTGGATTCACTTGAAGAAAAGAGGAAACAACTTGATTGTGCTAGGGAGAGGTTTGAGCTTTTGAAATCTGAAACAAGTGAGCTTTCAGATCTTGAGATTAAGCTTAAAGAAGAAATAGATCTAATCAGGGCTCAAAAGCTAGAGTTGATGGAAGAGGCAGATAAATTATCTATAGAGAAAGCTAAGTTTGAATCTGAGTGGGAATTAATTGATGAAAAGAGAGAAGAGCTGCGTAAGGAAGTGGAATGTGTAGCAGAGGAGAGGTTGGCGTTCTCAAAATTTATTAAGGATGAGCATGATAACTTGAGACGGGAGAAGGATGAAATGCGAGATCGGCACAAACGGGATGTGGAATCACTTGTTAGTGAGCGGGAGGACTTCATGAGTAAGATGGTTCACGAGCGTACTGAGTGGTTCAGTAAGATGCAGAAGGAGCGTGCAGATTTCTTACTGGAAATTGAGATACGGAAGGGAGAGTTGGAGAACTGTATAGATAAAAAACATGAAGAGTTAGAATGTTCATTGAAGGAAAAGGAGATTGCCTTTGAGCAAGAAAAGAAAAATGAAGTTGAGATTATCAGCTCCCTCAAGGAAGAAGCTGCAAAAGAGAGGGACCAGGTTGCTCTAGAAAGGAAAAGGCTTGAGTCTGAGAGAATAGAAATAAACTTGGATCGTGAGCGAAGGGATCGTGAATGGGCAGAGCTATGTAATTCGATTGAGGAACTGAGGGTTCAGAGGGAGAAACTAAAAGAACAGAGGGAGTTATTGCACGCTGATAGAGAAGATATTCTTGGTCTTATTCAACACCTGAAGGAACTGGAACATTTGAAGGCTGCTTTAGATAGTGCATCTGTGGCTGAGATGCAACAATCTGATTTGGTGCCTCGCAGCCGGAAAACTTCTAGACGATCTTGGAAGCAAACTTCTTCTGTACGAGACGCTAATGTTAATTTGCATAATGAAGTAAACGCTGACAACATTAGCAACCCGTCCATGCTAAAGATAGGGCTATCTCCTTCCAGTTCTGCTCATTTCTCGTGGTTAAGACGTTGGAGGGAATTGATGTTTAAAAATTCTCCTGAGAAGCACCAGTTGGAATTTGAAGAAAGCCCTGTGATCTCTCTGGAAAAAACAAGCTTGACAGTAACTGAACAGATAGAAACATCAAGTAAATATGATGGGCATCGGAACATGGGAAATGGCAATTCACCTGCATTTTTCAGCAAGAGACAGTGTGCTTTTGGTGAACCAAAGGTTATTGTTGAAGTGCCCTTTGTTGGTGACCTTTCTAATGGAACAAAGGATTCTGAATCTGAAATTAAGGAATTTGATGGTGAAAGTTGTGACCCCATAGTCTCAGAACAAGTCTTCAGGGGAGGAAGGAAAAGAAGAGTGGACAAATCTTTGTCCGCTGGCTGTTTTGATCCACTACTTGAGCCTAGGCAGAATGTTAAGAAAAGGAGGCAACAGCAGGATGCCGTTCCGAATTCCTCAGAACATGCCAATAGCCAGTGGTACAACACTTAACCCTTTACTGTCTTTTGCCAGTATTTCTGGAAATAGTATCTTAATAATTTATCATTTCATTTACTTCAATTGTTTGAGAAAATTTAAACTGACTCGTATATGTATTTTGACTTCAGCGTTGCATCAGTGCCATCTCATCAAATTCATGAAGATGCTGAAGAGGGTACTGTTTCAATAGTAGATAAAGTCACAAAGGTTACTAAAGTGATTTTTGGGGAGACTTTAACTGGCACTCTTTCCAGTGAAGACAAATCAGAGGCACAGAATTCTGTTGTGGAACCAGACCATGTAAAGAATGGTGTCTTACCCTGTGACACTAAGGCTCAGGAAAAGATGCAAGAATTGAACTTGGGGGATGCTGGACAAGTAATTGACCACGGTCAGGTATTATTTAATTATGCCTGCTCTGATGTTTTTCCTTATGGAAGTAAAGCATTAAATTCTGCTTCTTAATCATATAATGTCTTGCATATGATGCTTTGTGTTAACATTTATGATAGGTTGATTGTATCGATTGCCTGATAACTTTGTATGTTTGCATCCATTGCAATTTAGTGTTTATGTTGCTAGCATCAACAGAAGGGACATGTAATTGATTGTGTCAGTTAAAAATAAGCACAATTTTGTTGTCCCACTGATTTGAATGTTCTTGAAGGCCTCTACTAAATCATGATTATGTGTTTCTTATTATTTTCGAAGTTGTGCTTTTGATTGTTTAACATGGATGAGTTTTTATTTGGATTATATCCATTTTTCGTGTTTGTATTTCAGCGTGCTTGTATTGGCAGTGGGTTGATGTCAGTTGTTTAAGGAAGATTGATTCTAGTGTCGTAGTGTAATGCTTTGAAGTGTAAGGACATATCTCAGAGGATTATTTTACAGGAAAGAATAGTTAGTTTTGATTTCTCTATGATTGTCTTTCCAGACCCCTTTCCAAAATAAATAGGAAGAGTATGTAGGTTACCTGTATTATGTTAAGACATGGAATTTCTGTATTAGAGTGCGGTATTTTAGCTGTTTCTTTTGATGTCGATAATTGCTGTTGATGCCTAATCCCTTTTGTTATGGTTGAAGGAAAATCTATTTTCTATAAATCTTGATTTTTCAAATTCTATTGGAATCTGAGCGGAATTATTTGGGGATATATTATGCCCCACCATGAATGGTTGTTTCCCAGCCTTCTAAATAATAGTCTAGTTCTACTGGGGTCAGATTCACGATATTTTATGAGTCATTTTGAAATGGTCTTGGATGAAAATCTGTGAAACTATAAGTTCCGTGCGACTAGTGCAGCCCCCCATGCATCTTCTGTGTATGAAATTTTACTACTGCTTCCCTACTCTTTATTTTTCTTATGGCTTGAAACGAATGAATGCATGCAGACTCAAGAGGAAGATATAACCGAAAAGAATTTGCAGTCCGAATGAGATGATATTGGAAAAGAGTGTACAGAAGCTTAGATATGAAGAGACAAATCGGAAAGCTGACATAGTGAAAAGAGAGTAGTAAAACACTGGTTGTTGATAGTGTACTTTTAGGTTGTTTCCTGGATGGTTAAATAGATGCAAACAGACTTTTCGGCCCCCCCAACCAACTGGTTATCGCCTTTTGAATTTCATTAAGGTTCGTGTAAGTAATGCACGGTCGAGCTTGCTGATGAGATCTATGTTGGAATGAATCGTCGGTTTATCCGGTATGATATTCGTTTCCCCTTTTTTTTTTCCTTTCGTTCCTTTTGGAGTTGGTGTTTGAGGAAGAACATAGAGTGTAGTGTTGTGTGGCATTTGTAAGATATAGGACCTTATTTTGTTTAATGAACAAGGATTTTCTGGTTGTTCAGTACCATTTGTAAACAGTGTGATTGCCAAGCATAATCTTAGTTGACAAAGTTTCACCGTCGTCGTCGCTGTCGTCATTTAATTATAAATTATGCCGATTATCTGTATTTAATTAGTTAGTTTATGACTAGGTTTGATTAGTTTGGGAGTTTATCTTCGAAAGAGACACTGTCTTTAAATATTTGTCGTCTGGATAAGGACGGCCTTCAGAATAATATGTTAAAAGTTGAAGGGGAAACTAAGCCCTAGTTTGATACTGAGGTGATTCTGAAAAAAGTGGCTATAAAAAACAGTTGAAGCTTTTTGATGTTCGGTAAACATTCAATTTCATTTTTTTTTTTCACAGTTTTGGGTGAAAAAAAGTCAAAACACACAAAGCTGCAAAACTCAGCTTTGAAAAACTAGCTTTTTTCACATGTATTTTACATAAAAGTTTATCAAACGTTTATAATAATGCTCTTATTTTTTTTTCAAAAGCACTTTTACTACATAGTTTATCAAACATTCTGCTGTTTTATTTCACAGCTGCTTATTCTTACAGCATAGCAGAAACAGTTTTTTTTTTCAAAGCACAGCAATACCAAACCAAACCGAATAATAACTTACAAGTTTAGGAATTAAATTAGTCAAAACCCCGTATCTCAAGTACGATCGAAATCGTAATGTTGATTAAGATCACAAGATGGCTGGACGCAAGATTTCAAAGTCTCCTTGGCAAGGGTTGAATCTTTTGTAGTGGTCGAGTTTCAAGGTTAAGAAGAGGTGACATTTCTTGAACTATTCAACCGTGTATTAATACGTAGTCCAGACATCTGATGTAGGGTTGTCTATGTTCAAGGGAACTTCACTCCAGATTAGCGCAACTGCTAATAGGAAGTGTGACCTTATCTACTAGTTAGCCCGATCACAGGCCAACTCTGAGAATTTGGGGGTTCTAGACGAGCTTTCAAAGTAGGGTCTTAAAGTTCTTTAATCTCCGGTTCTTTGCACATTGATATGTACAAAAAAGAATTCGCTAAATACATAAAATAATTCACTTAATATCAAAAGAAGATAAATGAACAAATATTATTAAATATTACACGTCTCATGTTTTTAGATGCATATGTACTAAATGTTTGCGGTCAAACGTCTAAGATTGAAAGTAAAGAACAATAAAACTTAATTGACGAATATAACAAATTCAACGCCGCCAATTTTTTCTCTTTTGTTTTGTTTTGTTTTGTTTTGTTTTTTTTTTTCCCTAAAATCAACATCACCTTAACGGATTCGAATATTAAAATAATCCATTGAATGGTAAATTGTTGAAAAGAAAAATATATATTCAAAGTTTTTATTACTTTAAAGTACAATCTTCAAGACCATGTGATAGTTGATTTAAACATTCAATAGAGAATGGAGAGATTGGGAAGTTGAAAGAGAAAAGAGATTGCAAAAAAGTTGAAAGAAAAAAAGATTGCAAAGGGACTTGAGTTTTATAACTTTATATGCATTTGGACATATGGATTGGGAGTAAATTTGAAACATAAGAAAAATCTAGTAACTAAAAAGGTAGCTCCATGTTTTGAACTCAACACTTTAACGAAAAAGGAAGTGGAACATTTCCTCTACACCAACAAATGAATGATGATATTTCTTACCCTTTCTGTATTTATATGTTATTTATAGGATATATAAAATTTTTGGGACTCTCTAAAAGGGGGCCCTAGGCGGGCGCCTACATGGACTAACCTCAAGGCCGGCCTTGCCTAATCACATAAAGAAGCAATAGTAAAGTATTTTTACCAAAAGTATTTTCAACCATATGAAAAACACTTCTACACGAGTTAGGTATGTGATTTTCACATATTCTTTTTATCTTTTCACACATATTTTTTTATTTCTGTCATTCATATTGAATGAATTGAACGAAAACAACAAATATGATTAAATAAGAGTGCGTGAGAGGTTTAACAAGGGTGTGTTGATCATTATTTTCCAAACTCTTGTTGGAAAATATTCTATTTTGCTTTCTTGTTTTCTATTTTTGGGTGTCTAGTTTACAGTGGGCGAGTGTGACATCCCGTCCCGAAACTATCGAACCGTACGTGTGAAATGACCATTTTACCCCTAGTTTGTTCTATTAGGTTTTTGGTGTTTAGTGTGGTGTGGACAGTTGCGGGGGTCACACACACACACATTCACACTTGCTATCTCTCTCTCCCTCTGACTTTCCTCTCTCTCTCTCCCCCGAGCTCCATTTCTCCTCCTTCCCTTTGAAAACGTACGGACCAAACCCAAAACCATCCAAAACCTTGCAGATCGAGGGAACCAAGTACACCATCGTGATGGTGAGGCCGAGAGGAGTCTAGTGGTACCATTTTCAGGTGAGGAATACTTCGTTTTCACGTCGATTCAACAATGGCCGAATTGAGTACTGTTCATGCAAGTTTTATACATTGTGTTTTTGGACTTTTTAAGCTTGTAGTTGTGTTAGAGAGACCTCAAGGAGCTTGGGAATGCTTCGTTGGGTGAATTTGGACGTCGGGAAAGCTTAGTTTCAAAGTTGGCCGAACTTGGATCGTTGTTGCAGGTGAGATTCTTTGATTTTTAGGCCTTAAAAGTAGTCTAACGTGATTCTACTAGTCCTAAGCTTCATTTTGGTATAAAGAACGTGAAAAATGGTTGAAAAACGAGTGAGAAAACGAAGTTTGAAAAATTTCCAGTTTTCCGGCGACGGCGACGGCGACGGCGGCGGCGCCGGCGGCGGCGCAGGCGTCGGCGGCTCGCCGGAGAAGACAGGGGAATATTCCGTTGGACTTAACGGAATATTCCTACAGGACTAACGGCGTCAGTCAACGGAATATTCCGTCAGTCAACGGAATATTCCGTCGGTGTGCCGTGCACGTGGCCGCGCGTGGGGGCGCGTGGACCCGTGCCATTCCAGGCGCGTGGGGGCGCGTGCGTGGTCCAAAAATTATTTTAAAAATATGTGTGTGATCGTGAGGTTGTGTAGATCAATTTGGTATATTCATTTGTCCATTTTGAGCAATGTATGAGAAGTTATTACGAGAAACGGGTTATGTGCTTTAAAGTTAACGTTTTTATAGTTGTTTCGCATATAGGTGACACGTATCCCGAGGACGAGCGTGCACATTCGAGGCAGGGGGGCTACGACCCTTCTACATACCAGTGAGTGGGCTTTTGTTTTCCGTATATACCTATATACATTTATATTCCCAGAAATTGATTTAAAAAGGGTTAATTGCCTTATGCCATGTACTTTATTATTTATCGTTTATGCATCGTTGCATGCATCATTTGTGGCATACATATACATATGCACATGTCATATATATTTATGTGTGGGTGCTGTGGAGGCATAGGTAAGTGCCAGGTAAGCGTTAATTAACGATTACATTAAATAGTGGTTAGAGACGACTAGAGAGCTCATAACCTGCACCCCCGGTGTTAGTGCTCCCGCCCAGAGTAGGGCACAGTCCTTCACGTGTTGTTCACCTCCCGCACCATACGCTCAGCTTGGATCCAAGTTAGGTGCATAGGCCTGTCGTACAGACCACAGTAGGTGGTTCCGACTCGTAGGTGACCCGCGATTATTCGCACAGCCTTCACGTGATCGTAGCACTAGAGCGTATATACATGTTACACCCAGGCCTGTCGTACAGACCCTTTAGGTGGTTCCGACTCGTGGGCAGGTTTAGTTATTGAGATTGACAGTTGAGCTCTATATACAGCCGTACAGGTCACGCTAGGTGACTCCGGTTGTCAGAGGATTGTGTGATTGATACGACTCACACCTGAGCACTTGCATATCATTAAGAGATTTTGTCATAGCATATATTGAGCATGATTGGCATACCCTTGAACATGTTTGAGCATATCTATACATACGTATATATGTTTATTTTCTGGGAAGTATACAGGTTTTACGGCGAGGGGTTAGATTGTATTTTACTAAATGGTTTTCAAAGAGCTTTGTTTTTGCCCACTCACACTTTTGTTTTGCGCCCCTCCAGGTTCTAGTTGCTTAGCCGTTGCGGTGGTTTCCCTTGCGAGCTTTTCGGCGTTCTGACAGACACTCTACCTTGTAGGTTCGCCTTCGGGCGTACTACGGTTGTTATTTTATTTGGACTGCTATAGACCTGCTCTGATTTTGTATCGCACTAACTAGCACTTATCCTAGTACTAGAATGCTAGTTTTTTTTTTACTCGTACTTTTATATTACTACTCTATTAGCTTCCGCACGTGCACATGGCTACGTCGCCTTTGTGTGACGGCCAGCACGCTCCTACCTCGGTCGGGGTGTGTCAGTTTGGTATCAGAGCCTAGGTTTGGCAGTCCTGTGTCCTTGTGAGTATTCTAATAATTTTGGTGTCTTCTGTCAGAACTATGCCGCCTCGTCGGGAACCCCGTCGCTCTTCTGAGCCTATGTTCCCCGATATTACTCAATTGGGGGAAGCTTTTGCTACAGCCCTTCAGGCAGTGATGCGCCCTCCCCAGAGGACTCCTCTGGAAACTATGTACAATCTGAAGTTGGATAAGTTTAAGGGCAGTGAGGGACCCGAGAACGCAGAGCGCTGGCTAGAACACATAGAGAAGACTTTTCGGGTGCTACACAATCAGGGGAACTTGCCTATGGAGAGATGGGTTGAGACGACCGCTTGGTTTCTTGATACGGAGTCGGCAGCTTGGTGGGAGCAGGAGCTTCGTAGGTTGACTCCGGATCAGAGGGTCGAGTGGAATGTTTTTACGAGGTTGTTTAGGAGAAGGTATGTGCCCCCTGAGTATATTGACCGTAAGAAACAGGAGTTTTCCGAACTGAAACAGCGGAAGATGTCAGCGAATGAGTACTACCGTAAGTTTACGGACTTGTCCCGTTACCACCCTGATGTCGCTGGTAATCCGGCAGAGATGCTCCGTCTTTTCCGTTTGGGCACTAGGAAGAAGTGGCGTTCTATGGCGTCTGCAATCCACAGCGAGACTTACCGGGACTTCTATGAGATACTGTTGAGGATCGAGGATTCGGAGAATATGTCGAGCGATACTGATGAAGAAAAGGA